CGCAGCAGCCGGTGCTCCGTGGGCGCGCCCTGCGCGGCGCCGCCGCGCCCCTCGCGGCCCTCCGGCTCCTCGGGCTCGCTCTCGGCGCCGGCGGCGCCTGGTGGGCGGGGCGAGGCGCGGCGGGGGCCGGGCTCCCGAGAGGGCGGAGCGCTGTGCTCAGCACCCAGGCCCGGATGCCCTCGAGCCGCGGACGAAACCACGACGGGAGGTTCCGTGCCAGTCTCGGCCTCTGAGGGGCCCTCGACCGGGCCGATCGGGGCCGGCAAAGAGCAACTCGGGATGCGAGAGGTGGTCCTGGGGAATGGGTCGGGACTTCGGGGGGGGCGACGCCATGAACAAATCACGACGTCGGGGGTCTGAGAAGGGCCCGGGGGCTTCCGCGGAGGCTTGTTCGGAAGCCAGGAGGGCTTCTGAGCAGGCCCCCGCCTTCTCAGAAGCACCCCGCCTTCTTCGAGGGGGGCTGGGCTTTCGAGAAGACGGAGTGCTTCTTACAAGTCTGGGGCCTTCTGACAAGGACCCTGGGGCTTCCGAGGAGTCTTGTCCGGAAGCCGGGAAGGCTTCTGAGCAGGCCTCCGCCTTCTCAGAAGCACCCCGCCTTCATCGAAGCCCCCCCCCTCGCGACAACCTCGCGACACCCTCTCAGTGCCGGCGGCGCCTGGTGGACTGGGAGAGACGCTGGGCGCTTCGTCCAGCGTCGGCTTGACATAGACCTCTCGCCAGAAGCTGGGCCTGAAGCAGAAGCAGGGGCCACGAGACTGCCCGACGCTCTGCTGGACGACCTGCTCGAGGTACAGATACACTAGGTACCAGAACACCGTCATGAGATTGCCAAATGCGACCACGAATCCGATACGGAAGCCCTCCAGCGACAACTCCGGGATCCAGCCCATGGACTCGTAGAAAATGACGTGCTTGATCCCCGTGATGAGCCAGTAGCTGGGGAAGCACATCAGGCCGACGACCACGGCTGGCAGGCTCGAGAGCGCGGGCACCGGCGCGGGAATCATCAGCAGGAAGTAGAGCATCGCACCGATCATGGCCCCCGTGCGCTCATTGGAGAAGAAGGTGGAGACCACCGCGCTGAAGGCGAACGTGTACATCAGGCCAGAGACGCAGACCCACCAGAAGACCGCGAAGCCTCGGGGGCTGAGAGGCCACGTCAGCGCCAGGAACCCCATGAGGAAGCCAACGGCCGCCGCACGGGCGAACGTCCAGAGCAGCCACGACAGGTAGAAGGACGAGCTCCGCAGGCCCATGACGCGCATGCCCTCCTTGAGCCGCTTCTCCCGCTCGCCCACCAGGGCGGAGACCATGACGAACACCCAGAGGATGAAGGGGAACGCCAGGAAGAAGGCCACGAAGCTGGAGAAGTTGCTCACGAGAGACTCGGCCCGGCTCTCCGCCACGCGCGCCCGCTGCGGCATGCTGTAGACGGTCAGCGAGGCGTTGGGCCGCAGGGCCGCGAGCGCTGCGGACCCCACCGCGGGCGAGGGGCTCCTCTCCGCCAGGAACAGGCCGGCCAGGTAGTGCAGGTTCGCGCTCGCGTGCCGCTGGTACAGGTCGTGCGTGACGCTGCACGCGTCCTCGATGTACCATGGGACCTGGCCGCACTCGTTCGCCTCGAACGTGACCTCCAGCCGGCTCTTGAACTCCAGGGTAGGCCTGTACACCGCGGCGTCTGCGGTGACGTCGACCCTCACCGCAATGCTGCTTGCGTCTGCAAAGGAGACGACTCCGCAAACGCCATCTCCAACGGTGAGGTCGTCTGCATCTGTGAGCTCGAAGGTGTTCCTCTCTGGGCAGGTCGAAGACTTCTCGGTCCTCCACTTGAGCGTGAAATTTCTGATGAGTTCCTCAACACCTTGAGCATCGTGAAACCGATCCCTATCCCCACTGGCCCGGGCCCCACTGGCCGATTTACCCCCGAGATGGGGATATTGGCCATTAGGCGGTTCCCTTCGGGCTTCGAGGGGCATGTCCCCAACTGGAGTGGTGGAATGGTGGGGATCGGGATGGGGATGGGGATGGGGATTTAAACGATACTGATGCCTGCTTCCCTCAGGAAAGCCCGAAACCCATCGCGCAGCTCTCGCTGCCCAGCGATCCGCAAGGTGCGGCACCGGCACTGCACCGCGATGGCTCGGCCGTCGACGTGGCCGAAGCACGGCGGGAGCCGGAAGGAGCCGTAGGGCGGCTCGCTCACCTGAGCGACGATCAAAAACGTGTCTTACGCCAGATGACGTGGCGAACTTACGCGGTGGCTTACGCGGGCCGCCCGCGCCGCACGCCGCATTGGAGACCAAGGCGCTTACGCGCGAGCTCACGCGGGCAGCTTACGCGCCCACGTCGGCGCGGACGACCCCGTTTTTTCGCGTCGCCCACCTGCAGATCGGCGCTGCTGGGCGTACCGTCGCACTCCTGTGTTGCATACACTGCGGGCAAGAGTTGCGGCGGGATCAGGGTGGAAGTCAAGCTGCCCTGCAGCAGCTCGAGCATCGGT